ATAAAAAGGAAAAAAAATTAAAAAAAAAAAATCATTGGATAACTTCAGTAAACATTTCAGTCCCAGGTCTCAGTGAAATAGCTGGTAACATTTACTTGAACAGCTGGTAAAAATAACCAGTTACCAGCTCTCAACATGAACCCTGAGTAACATAGTAGCAGAAAATACAGAGGTAAACTCAGAAAAACCACCAGGATTTCTTCAAAGGCAGGAGGGAGTCACACTGCGTCAAACAGAGGGCACACAACAAAATGTTATGTTGACTGTGACCCTGTGTTTTACTCCGTGTGACAAAAAGAGGCTTACAGAGGTGGGGTGGGGGAGTTCACAGCCACCCAGAGACCTCCCCCCCAGCTACATTCTCAAAAGTATCGGGATAATATCACTATTCACGTGGGAATAAAAGACAAGGTAGAAGAGGTGGACAAAAATTAACATCGGTGGACATTTAATTTAGTTAAAAACTGTTTACATTCTCCGAGGAGGTTGTGTACCTCAAATAATATTAAAGTTATGGGCACTTACCGTTACTCCAGACGCGAAAAAACGAACCTTAACCTACAAAAAAATAAGAATCTGTTTGTAAGATTCAAGATAAATTAAGAACGAAAGATAAGTACAACAAGGTCAAATCAAGTACTGCAGTACAAATAAATGCAGCTTTTACTCCCTTAGATATTGTATCGAACTCGATCTGGAATTAGTCTTTCCTTATAGATATCAAAATACAAGAATGACAATTCAAAATGATATTATTCCTTTGATTTCTGATTCTATCGTTATTTCGATCTCAAAACTTCCAAAACCTCTGATGTAAAACAAATCGCATTGTTCGAGAAAGACGTGCGATTATGTAATTAAGCTTTTCACTTCTTCGCGATTGAGAATTCTCGTTTCGTTAAAATTCATTAAAACTAATATAACGGTTCAAACACCAAGGTTAAAAATCTTACATTACGAACAAGAAGGCGAAGTCCAGATCGCTGGATCAAGTGTCGTTAAACCCATTTCTCGAGCTAAAGCATTACAGTCCGTATTTTTAAGGAACCTTCTAAGTAGTTTTCACCAGGCGCACGTGAACCAGCTAGCGCATGACCAGACAATACCTACTGCTGCTGACCAGTTTCGTGGAAAAATGAGAAAGCCATCTCCAAAGACAGAGCTGAATAATGAAATGCTTACGTGAGAGCGTATGCGGTCAACAACGCGGGCTCAAGTGTTCTAGGTCTAAAATTTAGCGAGGAAAATAATAAGGGCTGACTTTTAAAACCGAGGAACGGCTGTTTTCGTCGGAGGCATTTTCCTATTTCCAAAGGCTTTAAGGAGAAAATTAATTATTTAAAAATTTTAGGGAGTGTACCAAGTTTTTGGAGGTTGTTCTATTAAAGAAAAGCGGCAAGGAAATGACGCCTCAAAGCAACAGAATAGGATATCAACATTGCGAACGACTCAAAATCCGTATCTCCGCGGCAAAATCCAGCGCATGCGTATACGTTATTCAGCTCTGTTATCTCCAAACACATGTTATGTGATTTTTGATTTTAAATCTGTGTTATCAAAACTTGCATTTTAAAATTTCCTGTAACCTGCGTTTTACTTTGCCGCTCGCCTTTTATGGGCCAAAAAACACGGCTTTAGACGCAGTCGATTTTTAAAACAACTGGGTAATCAGGCCTGACACCTGATGAATGGCGTGCGTGGAGCAGAATTAATGCCCTGGGCACGAAGTTGTCACATCAGTGACAAACTCGGCACAGCGAGTCGTGAGCCAAATTTCTTTTCTTTCCACATTTTGACGTCATCTGAGATCTATAACGAAGCATATGCAGGGCAACGTGGAATCCGAAGTTTGTAAGTCTCACCATGGCCTAGAGAGCGATTCTAGTGTTGAATAGTTAAAACTTCCCCTATTAGGGAGCTTAAGCAACCACGACGAAAGGGACGACGACGACGTCAAGCAATCGCGGAGGGTCTGGAACCAGGACGTCGTTTTTAGCGGGAAAATGAAACTTAAGCAGTGAAGTTGCTCAAGGACGACGACGTCTGAAATTTTTGTTTATTCTCGCTTCGTAAGTTT